CCGGCCCCCGCTACAGCTCACTTTGCTGCCCACCCTTTTCTGTCTGGGCGCCCCTCCCCACCTCTGACCACACATTATGTTTTCCAGTCACAAGCCACACGGGCCTGTCTCCTCCCCAGCGACGCCCTTGCTTTCCTGGCTTCCTCTGCCCCAGTGTCCGGGTGGAAGACCCACTTGCTGCCAGGCCGCAAGGTCCCTGCTGCCCCTGTGTGTGGCGCGCGGGCCCCACCGCTAGGGTCTGGCCTGGGACACAGCCAGGGCTGTGGGCTCAGAGAGTGGGGGAGAGCGGGCCTGCCAGAGACGGGGCCAGAGCCAGAGGACGGCAGCAGGGATGCGGGCAGGAGCGTTCTGGCTGTGGTCCTTGGTCGCACGTGGCCTCTCACGGGCAGGGTGTGTTTGGTGGGTTTGTGGGGTACAGGGAGGGGTCTGGACACCTTGCAGAGAGCAGGCAGCGGCCGGGCAGCCAGGCAGGGCTGCTTGAGGGGGAGGCCCTGTGTGGAGGCAGGCGGGCCTTCCCCCGCCCCGCATGCCTGCTGGCACCACAAACCCTTGTCATCTGTGAGGTGGGAGGTGACGGGTCCCAGCCTGCAGCTGCCGTGTGTGCCATGCCCCAGGCCAGGTCAGGTCGTGCGGGCCAGGTAGGGGGGCAGCAGGGTGGACAGCAGGCTGGGCCGCCCTCTGGCACGGAAGGCCTGGGGCTCTGCATGCCCGAGTCCACCCGCCACTGCCTCTCTTGCCTTTGCGGGGTTTTCCTTGAGGATCTGCACTTGCTGTGTGTGGCCTTATGGAGTGGAACTTTCTGTCCTGTTCTCCTCTTGGGACGGCAGGCCATGGACTTTTTCCTTTGACTTTTGTGTTGTTTTGCATCCTCGAAATTGCCTTCAGGGCTGTGTGCTTTGGCCAGAACGTGATTGGAAAGTCAGTTCCCTATTTGGCCCATAATAATAATAATACTAATGTTCATGATAATAGTGTTAACATCTGTGTTGTGGGCTATGACTTACTTTGCACAGTCTTTTTTTTCCCTAAAAACTGAGAATTTAGAGTTGGGGAGTCTGTGGTTGAGGAACTCTTTAAGGTCTTATTCAAACAAGATTGGGAGACCAAGGCTGCCAGTGAGGGTAGGAGAACCGCGATGTTCCTTCCGTGGCCCCTGAGACAGCGCAGCATGTTGGCCTGTCTGCCTGGCACTTTGCTTCTCTACCTGTCCCTCCCTCCTCCAGGCAGAAGCTTTCCAGGTCTGACCGCTGGGGGCTCAGCAAGCACAGGTTCCTCGTGCCCTCGTTTGCTTTCGGAGCAGGCACCACCCCAAGGCCCTCTGCCTCCTTTCTGATCGTGCGGTGAAGCATTCTCGACCCTTCCTTGGGAGGCTGCTGGTCTCAGCAGCGGGAAATAGGAAACGGGGGCTCTCAGGGCCCAGCAGAGTGTTAGGGGCAGGGACAGAGGGGCATTTCCAGTGGCCTGTGGAGGGGCTTCCGAGGAGGACGCCCCGTGTGCAGATGCACGTAGCCTTCCCTTCCCTTCCCTGAGAGCCTTGCTCTTAACCCAGCGGAGTCTCTGCCTCCCCGCGTCAGACACGCGAGGGCCCAGGAAGCACCAGGGCTCTTCAGCGACGTGTCTGGGGCGGGGGTCCCTGCCTGTGTAAGACGGGGGGCGTGTTCCTGCTGCCAGCCCTGTGCCCTCTGCTCACTTCGCAGTCTCAGCTCTGCCACTTCCACTCGGCCCTGCTGCAGGCCAGGCCGAAGCCCTGGCCATGCCCCACTGCCTTCTTCAGGAGAAACCTCGGGGCACCGCCTGCAAGGTGGTGAGTTGGCCACGGGCACCTCCAGGGCATGTGCCCCTCATCAGGAGGGGCGACCTCCGTTGGGGGGCCGTGCCTTCTCTACGCCACCCGCAAGACGGGACGCGCCTGCTCCCACGTGCGGTGCGCTGGCCGCCCCACCGCCAGGGTCCTGGCCTGGGACTCGGCCAGGGCTGTGGGCTCAGAGAGTGGGGGAGGGCGGGCCAGAGCGAGAGCGGGAGCAAGGAGTTGGAGGGCCGAGTGGGCAGCGGGCAGGATGGAGCCCGCTTGGAGCCCTGGGGTCTGGGGGTCTGTGGGGCTCAGGCGAGGTGACTCGGACCCGGAGGTCAGAGAGCACTGCGGTGACCACACAGGCGTCCGGAGTCGGTGCTGCCTGCCGAGGTCCTGGTGAGGCTGCAGCGGCTGTGGGCTGGGCCCGGAGAGCCAAGGCCGGAGGGGCCAGGGCAGACGGGAAGTAACCCAGGCCGTGCGCCTGTCATCTTCCAGGCCCTCGAGACCGCAGACCCTGTGGAAGAAGGCACTCTCCGCCACAGTGCTGGGGGTGCCCCTGCTCCTCGGGGCGAGGTACCTCATGGCTGAGCCACAGGAGAGGAGGCGGATGCGGCTCGTGGTGGACGGTATCGGGCGCTTCAGCAGGTAGGGGGCCGGCAAGGTGGCGGCTTCTCCCCACTGCGTCCTGTCCTCAGGCGTGCGGGGCCTCGTGCGGGGCCTGGGAGGGGCAGCAGGGTTTTGCTGGGAACTCTGAAGCTGCCTTCCAGGGATCTCTTGTGCTGCCCGGTGGGGCAGCCGAGCGCTGCAGGGCCCACGCCATCCACGCTGGGCATGGCCTCCACAGACCCCACCTCAGGCCTCCGCCTCATCTCCCTTCGGGCTGCGCACCACTCGCAAGGAGAGTTGGCATATCCAGACGGAGAGTTTGGGGCTCACAGGGGAGGACTGCCTCTCACCTCCACTCCCGGTGTCCTGGACTAGTGACGGGCCTTGTTGGTCATTGGCGTCCAGGGCGCCTTAAGCAGAAGGGTCTCTCATACTCCTGTATCTCCCGGGGCAGGATTCTGGGGGTGTGGGGCGGTCTTCCCATTGGAGCAGCTTGGGCAGGCATTCCTGCTCCAGTCAGATC